CATTTAGTTTTTCCGCGAAGATGATATCATCTAGATACACCTGTACTCCAGGAATATCGCTCAGAAGAGCGTCCATCCGTCTCTGAAACATGGCTGGTGCGGAACTCACACCAAAAGGCAGTCGTTTGAAACAGAAAAGACCATTTTGCGTGTTCAATAAGGCTATTTTCTGGGCGTCTTTATCCTAAGGTAACTGGTTGAATGTCTGGCGAAGGTCCAACGTTGTGAAAGCTTCCCGAAAAAGGTAAGGTATGGCGCGGGCCTTGAAAAACCACAGAAGCACTTATTCCTTCAGCTGAAATATCACCGGTGGTCCGCTAGAAAGTCCAAGATGTTGAGCAAAGCGATCAGCATATTCGCTGAGCAGGACCTCTAGTTTTGTGTTGGCTTCGTTCAACGTAATTGGGTGCACGCTCGCGACGACATTTGTCAGCACAGAAACTCTGATTTCGTTAAAAGCCTTTATTGTGTCTCTGCCACAATGATGGTCCCGTGCTGTCAACCTTTATGAATATGCCTTGCATATCTTTGCCGTCGGTTTTGGCTGTCATGCGTACCCGTCCAAAGCACTGGAAGTTCACCAAGTAGGCAGGGCAGTTCTAGCTGCGTTTTTCACAACGGTGGCTTTTTAAGTTTGTAACTACGAAACACCGATGCTGAAATGATGCTTACAGGTGACCCAGTGTCCACCAGCATAGTCAGAGAAACGCTATCCCAGGTGCAATTATTGAATGGGTTTGGCTTTGCGCATTCTTGATTCGTGATGAAGGACGGCCTGTATAGTGAACAATGCCTCACTATCATCTGAGATTGAGCAGTCTTCCGCTGTTGCCGCGTACGCCCCTTGCCATCGTACATCTGCATGTGAGCTCTATCGGTGACCTGACGTGGCTGACTGCCACACTCGTTGCAAGTAGCCTCGTTTGCTGCACTTGTGGTACACCATGCGCAGGTGTTTACATTCCTCCGCTACATGTTTTCGTAACCACACCGGCAACATCAGCCGCGAGTATCCAGCTTCGGTAGCGATTTCCCAGTATGGTCCCTCTGGCGTGTCAATTTTACAGCAATCACCGGTAGAATGCATTATTCAGGCGTTTACAGCAGCGTCTTGCGCCGGCATAGCAAAGCATTCTGCCTGTTCTAGCAGGAGCTCCCGTTGCGTCCATAAATGTCGCCTCACGCCTTCATCGTGCCCGCCACACACAATTCGTTTCCTCAGCATGCGCTCCAACGACATTCCGAAATGGCACTTCTCCATCAGCTGCAATACAATTCTGAACAGACTCACCAGTTTTTTGTGTCCGCATGAAGAAGGCATAGCTTGCGGTGGTCTCGATAACGTGCGGAGTGTAACGTTCTTCCAAATGCCCGACAACTTCATCGTAGCTGAGCTCGTTGACCTTCTTCGGGTGGCAACGCTCCCGAACGACTCCCACTGCACTGTTCGTTAGTAAAGATATCAAAAGTACCGGTTTCTTTGCTTCGTCTGCGATGTTATAGACTTCAAAGTAAGCCTCGAAACGAACACAATACGTTGACCAGATACTATTGAACCCTCCAAAATCGGGCGGCCGCCCTTCACTCATTATTGCGCGGATCTGCTCGTCGCCACTGTCATTTTGCTGTTCGAATATATACTACAAGAAAGTCAAATAACGCAGCAAGACCGATGGTTTATTGAGCAGCTTGTTTACACTAAATGTAGGTGACGTTGCCGCGATGTGCCTTTATAACACTGCATCGCACTGAACCATAAACAACTTTCCGGTATACTCCTTTCAGGTTTTGCTGAGCATGCCTATTGCTAACTCGCTGGGTAACTGACGCTCATCAAAATACAAAATTGTCTGCGATGGCGGGGATGAAACACCGCCATCGAAGAACAGAAGACCAATGCTGTAATCAATAGCCGACAGCCGTAAGTACACTGCTCGCTTGCTAACGTCAAAAAGACGCCCCGCCGCGGGGGTCTAGTGGCTAATGTACTCGGCTGCTGACCCGCAGGTCACGGGGTCGAGTCCCGACTGCGGCGGCTGCATTTGTGAAAGAGGCGAGAAGGCTGTAGGCCCGTGTGCTCAGATGTGGGTGCACGTTAAAGAACCCCAGGTGGTCAAAATATCCGGAGCCTTCCACTACGGCGTCTCACACAATCATATGGTGGTTTTGGAACATTAAACCCCACATAGCAATCAACGTCAAGAAGATGGTAAACTTGCGTCGTGTAGCGCGTGCGAGCGCCGGTTAGCGTTTCCAAGTTTTCTTAGGTTGCACAAAATGTAATAAAACACACTCTGGTGAATGATCAACCTTACGCCTTTAAAACAAAACAGGGGATGAGTTAGGTGGCGTGCTGTGTTTCTCTTGCAAACATCGAGTTCCTCTTATCTGGTAGCTTGACCCGTCACGCCCTCTTCGTAATAACCAGTGGATAATGCCGCCATACTGCCACGCGCGGACGTGCGCACGCAAAGTTATGACGTGATCCCGTTCTGTGCTGAGCTGCGCATGCTGACCGTCTTTTGTGCTGTGTACATCTATTATGATAAGTTGATGCGATTGCATTGAAGAGATCATTTCGCTGAAACTCTGGTGTCTGCGGCGTCGAATTCGGTATTCGGTAAACTCAGCGTTGATTGATTGATTTGTGGGGTTTAACGTCCCAAAACCACCATATGATTATGGGAGACGCCGTGGTAAACTCAGCGATGGCCGTGAGTGAAAAATTTGAAGCGAATGCGAATAAGCATAAGAACTGGAGGGCGATTACACTTTGGTTTTCCTTGCGGTACAGTTTAGGTCTATCGAGAAGCGAAGATATGTAGCGGTTAAGACGGCTATTCGGTGCGTGTGTGTGTACTCCTGGGGGCGTGCGGATATTGTTATTGCGTTTAGCACTGTTAAAGGCGAAACTTACGAATGTCTTATTCAAACATTTTTTCAGCGCACTCAGTCCGTGTTGATAGGAGCGCGAAGAAAAGATGTTGGCGTGGAAGCGACAGAATTCGCGACTTTCCGCAGCAACATCATGCGCGAAGCGTCTTCATTCAAGTTTCATCGCTGGTCATGGGCACTTCCCGTCTGTAATTTAGTTGTCACATTTCCTGCGTGCCAGGTGTGGCTAACTTCGATATTGTTCTTGTAATTTCACGATTAAAATATAACTAACGTAAAACTGTTGGGATCGGACAGGGCTGCTAAACGAAAGGTCGCGTGTTCAATCCCGGCCGCGGCGGCATTTGATGGAGGTGAACTGTAGATGCGGTGTCAGTGCCCGTTGAATGACACCAGATGATCGCCATTTCCGGAGCCTTCTCTACAGCGTCTCTCATAATCATATTGTGGTTTTGAGACGTAAAACCCCAGATATTTCTACTACTATTACTACAACCACGACCACGGCACAGGGTAGACTAGAGCGGCCTCAATGTGAAGGAAAAGATGCGCCTGTACAGCCCACCCCACACTGAAACGAAACATTCAGGCATTTTTCTTGCCCAATTTTTCCATCCCTCTTGGTTGCGCCAATTCTTTCTCCTGAACGCATCAACTTTTATGACTCCCGCAGGCCTTGGTTTTTTTTTTATTTCGACGTTCAGCGAATTCGCTAACGGGCTTGGCAGCACAGGTGACGCGTTCTTTCAAATCAGTCGGCGCGACAGCCATTACCTACATTCGCAAGGACAAACACAAAAGTCCGGATGGTAGCCTCGCCCGGGAGAAACTGTGCAGGACTTCTTAAGTGATCTAAGTTTTCTTTCTCTGTTGTTGGTAGTTCTCTCCGAAACGCCAACAAGTGAGTCAGAGAATTGTGCTTTGACATGGTAATTATGCTAATTTATAGAAATATCTGGGTATCATAATACAGTGAACTGCCTGGACATAGAAAGAAAAAAAGGAGGGTGCGATACAGCTGCGCCTTGCGCTAGCGGCGAACAACCTGAACGTTACAGACCTGTTAACTGCCCTGGCCACTCTTCCTGCCTTCCAGCGAGCGAAAGGTCGCACAGACACGGCGAGACACTTGCTCTCGCTCGGGTGTAGTGCGAATTACGCGGGAACGACACGTGCCATAACGTGCCGTTGTGGCCGCCGCTATTTTAAAAATATTAGAACTATATATACGAACTGCATCCGCAATACTTGTGGCTGGTGCGCCATAAGTTCCTTGCCGATGGGCCACGAGCTCAGTGGTGAACCGAAAGCCGCCCAACGTGTGTTTACCTTCGGCTTCCGAAGTCCCTGCGGCAAGCAAGTGGCTACCCCCCCCCTCCCTCCCCCCCCCCCCCCGAATGACGTGGAGCGCATACTCGGTCTGCACGGTCCACCGAAAGCAGAAGCAAAGGGGCGAGAGCAACTCGCGTACGTCCTTTACGCCAGCGTTACTACAAAATGAAGGTGAAGTACGCGACTTTCCCGCGCCTTGTAGTGCAGCGACACTGATGATAAATAATGAGCAGTGCGGATACGCACAGCCACACACTATCGGCGCCCGCTTCGAGATGAACGGACGATTGCCATCGGTGGGAGAGCCTCGGGCATGGTTAATCGACAAATGCCCTTTTTTGTTTGTGCGTGCATGCAGGCAGCTTTTAACCAAGGGCAGCTACCGGCGCGACTCTCTTACGCCAACCCTTCGCCATCAGCTCCCCCCCCCCTCGCATCGACAAATACACGCAGCCGTCCATCGCTTGCCGCACGCCACCCCCTCCGCCCCTCCTTCCCACAATGTGGTTTTGCTTCGAGGGCGGCTTAAAAACCGAATGCAGCGTGGTGACACGCGCTCTTTGACCGCTGTCTCGCCGCTGCCGAGTGGGGCTACACGTGCCTGCGGGTCGCACATACTGAAAAAAAAAAGAATGGCGAAAAGTTTTGTGGGCTATCGTGAGACCCTTCTGTCTGTTGTCGTCTTTTTGTTGATTGTGCACGCGCCCCAATTCAGCAGTTGTGCGAACCACGAAGCGACGACACCCGATGAGTTCGACTCCTACTACATCGGAATGCGGAAGATCATCGGTGAGGCCATTGCCAAGGCCCCACCCTCTTTCATCCGCAAGTTGCAGACGGCTGACGTTTCTGCTGACTGCTCACTGGGACTGCTCAAGCTTGTGCGCGGTTTTCGGAACCTTGAACCCTGGGCTATGAAACGTAAGTTCACCTGTAGGCACCCTTGGGTGCATGTGTCTAAGAGCTAACACTTCTTAGACTGAGAAGCTCTTGCTCTGTGTGCTACGCTTCACACAGTCGTAGCAAAACGAACAGAATTTTTGTACTAGGCATGTATATATATATATATATATATATATATATATATATATATATATATATATATATATATATATATATATATATATATGTATATATATATATATATATATATATATATAGAGAGAGAGAGAGAGAGAGAGAAAGTTCCAGTCATTGAGTTATTACGCAGCACGATTTAAGAAAAGAGGAACGGTGTTACGCGATGCAAACCAAGTTGCCGCTACTAGTTTTTTGTTAATTACCATTAATTCGTAAATCGTAATTAAAATTGTAGCTCTAGAGGTATTCATCTACCTATAAAATTGTCTATGAGGCAGATGTGCTCATGCATAAATGGTATCTGTCTCTGCTAGGTCCAACAACGTATAACCTGCCTGCCCATTTTTTTGCTGTGAAAAAAGAAAGCCCTTGAATTATAAAAAAAATACACGTGACTGCGCTCACACCACCAAAACAAAAGCAGTGCCCTCAAACAATTTTACCGGAGACAACCACTTTGCTTCTTTCCCATTGCGAGAGATAGCGTTGTGCACAATGCAAGGGTACAGGTCGGGTACCAACAATATGTGTTGTAGTTTGGAATTTTTCCTTCTGCTTAAGTGTACGTCACTATCACCGTTCATATCTCAAAGTCAAGTGTTCTAATTGATAACTCCGCCGGATCACTGTTCTTGGTGATTACAGGATTACTCTGTAAGATCAAGGCGGCACGTTTTGTCAAAAGGGAAGTGGGAGATTGCGCGATCCGTATTTTATTAGCGAAGCATTTCTTATCGCACTTCAGCGACTTTGAGCGTATCTATCTATCTATCTATCTATCTATCTATCTATCTATCTATCTATCTATCTATCTATCTATCTATCTATCTATCTATCTATCTATCTATCTATCTATGTATCTATCTATCTATCTATCTATCTATCTATCTATCTATCTATCTATCTATCTATCTATTCAGCTCTCGTGGCCATTTTGATGATGTGATCTATAGCAAAATAGGTATCGCATAACATGACTCTATGAAAAGCATAAATGACTTGTCATAACATCAAAATCATGACATATATGTCATGCTTGTAATGATTTACATGCCATCGTCTTGCTGCTTTTATGGTAGTTTCGTTTTCACATGACATATTGTAAAACTGTTATGGTATGTCATGTCTGCATAAGTGACAGGCTGTAACCTGAAAATAATGAAATACATGTCATGTAAGCCGTGACTACACGCCATACGCTCGTGGTGCGCTCACGGTCGTTTCATTATATTCACCTATACCAAATTTGGTAAGGCGTTCATCTCGCCCCACCGCAGTGGTCTAGTGGCTAAGGTACTCGGCTGCTGACCCGCAGTTCGCGGGATCGAGTCCCGGCTGCGGCGGCTGCATTTCCGATGGAGGCGGAAATGTTGTAGGCCCGTGTGCTCAGATTCGGGCGCACGTTAAAGAACCCCAGGTGGTCAAAATTTCCAGAGCCCTCCACTACGGCATCTCTGATAATCATATGATGGTTTTGGGACGTTAAACCCCACATATCAATCAATCAATCAATCAAGGCGTTCACTCTTAAAAAAGGCTACTTACTAACTTTGAGGTAGTAATTTGTTGTCACAACAATCACTACCTAGGTAGAGACTGCATGTAGTAGACCACAAACATTCACTAACTCTGGTGGCTTCTAAGGTAGTAAACGTCTGTGGTTTACTACTTGCTGCTGCTACTTAGGTAGTGAATGTTGTGACAACAATTTACTGCCTTAAAATTTGTAAATAACACTGCCTTTTTTTAAGAGTGTGATGCGAATGAATGACAAAGGTATATGACTGGTACAAACACGACAACGGTGACACGCGTGCCATGTAAGTATATGACTACATGCCACGCTCATGATGGCTGGCAGCCGTTTTCCTAGCTTCACAAGTACCAAATGTAGTATTACGTGACACTAACGGACGAGGAAAGTAAATAACACATTGAAACATTATAATCATCATAAGGGCATAATTTCAAACATAACCACAACCTATGCTCAGAGCGTGCTCGCGGCCGCTTCGCTGGCTTCACATACACCAAATTTGGTATTACGTGACGTGAATGGACGACAAACATAAATATTAGGCGCAAAGTTAATAATCATGGCGTGGAAGTCATGCACGGCATAATTTACTTGCCTACTACTGCTGGGGCTAGAATTGCAAGCGTCAGTGCGGCCATAGTCGCACGACTATATACAACACACTTGCTTCCCATATACATACATCAGTGTGCATAACATTTATATCTGTGTTTGCTGTGTACTACATCTGTTGGCCTTCTTTGAAAAAGATTGAGGATGAAGACGATGAAGAGTACTGGCCTTCGAATCACGTGCTGCAGCAGCAACCCACGGAGTCAGTCTGTGGTTTATTGTGAATAAACCCGTTTTTTCTTCTCAACAAGAGGCTGGATTTTCTACAGGCCTTGTAACGTTGTGCTGGTTTTAAAGTGACATAACAACCTTCCTCATTCGTGCTTTACATATTATCTATTCCCTCTGTACGTGAGATCTGCCGATTTTTGTTTTTCTTTCTACATTTCCTTCATTGCTACTGGTTCTCTTTATGTCAGCTTGTTTGAGGGCGCTTCTTTCTCTTGCCTGCAGGTGTCTAGTCCCATGTTATTTTTTTGTAGTTCGCGGGTTTTATTTATTTACACTAAAAACTGAGCACGCGGTTCGTACGTTGGGAAAATATGCGCTAGTTTTACTTCTGATGACGCCAATCCACTTTTTTTTTGAAATGACACTGTGGGATAAGTGGGACACCCTGTATGTATATTCATATATACAAGGTGTCCAACGTAATTTAGCTAGAGTTTCAAAATATGCTGGTATACGTAATCACGACGCGAGCAAATGCATGTTACTCAGTCATGAGTCAGTCATGCTATCATTTGTGCTCTCAAATATTGTTTATTGAATATATTTATTTAACTAACAATTCAAGAAATGAAAATAGACAAAACATTTCAATTAGAATGCTGCAGAACGCTCTCCAAATATCTGTTAGGTATTAGTGATTTTCTGCTAGTTACAAATGCCCATGAAATACAAAAAATACCACGTGACAAATCCGCTCGCACGTCACTGCGCACGGTGATTCTAGTGCTCCATAACCTTCCGCGTACGAATAACACGCTTGCTGCGTACCTGTTCATGACAGCAATAAGCAGTCACAGCGGTTATTGTTTTTGTGGCCGATAGCAAAACGTGTTTGTCGTAAAGTCACCACCATCGTCGCGGCCCTGCCGGGACAGCACAACAGAACAATTGCTATGGTCGTTCGTACGCCGAACGTTAGGGAGCGCTAGAATCATTGCGTGCACTTGTGCACGAGCGAGTTTGTCACGTGGTATTTTTTGTTTTTCGCGTGAATTTGTAATTAGCAGAAATAGACTAATACCTAACAGATATGAAGTTCAAAACTGTCTAATCAGACGTTTTGCAAACCGATCTACAACTTTCTCATTAAAATTTTTTTCTATCTTCGTTTCTTAAAAAGTTAGTTATTTAAAAACATATCTAAAAATAATATTTCTGAACACAAAAAATAATCTAACTTCAGCCAATGGTGAGCAACATGCATATGATCGCATCGTACATACGTGCTTCAGCATATTTTTAAGCTGTGACTAAAATTACGTGGGACACCCTGTATATGAAAAAGACGACTCTCAAATACTCCCACTAACACCCAAAGAATATAAAGAATATATTGTAAGGTACAGTGAATAGGTATTTTGTTTTGCTGTATGTTTAATAGTAAAACACTTTTTGTTGACGCGCATATATAGTTCTATTATTTTAGTTAGGTATTGTATGTGACAGGACATTTGTATATGTGTAATGTTTTTCAATTTTTGTTTGTTGACTGCCCTTTTCATTTTTTCAGCCATGTGTGGTATATGAATGTATTTTTTGTGTATCTCAGGCACACTGAAGCTACAGTTATGTAGCTTTTGGTTTGGTGTCCCTTCGCACGTTAGAACGGGAAAAATGAAGACAATTATATTTACATTAAAGCAACAGTGTTAAAAAACTCGTTTCGCAAATGTTCAGGCATAAACGGCTTTGGAAGTGAGCGAGAAATCTGCCATGTCCGAAAGTTTAAAATCGAGATATATGCAAATGATATAATTATCTCAAATCCTAGGTTTTATTCCGAATGGAAAGTAACCATTCTGCGTGGCAAGCATGAGTTCAACCACAGATTCACCCTATTGCTTGAAACAGCTTTGTAAAAAAAAGTGTCCTTAAGGCGTGTAATATTGCGTGACAGACAAGAAGAATGACGCCAGTAGTCAAAACATGTGAGTTGAGCATATAGCGAGTATTTGAAAAGCGCAGACATTAAATATGCTAAGGTATATTCATACATTGTCATCAACAAAAAATCAGCAGTGTTTGCAGCTGCTTAGGTTCAGTGTTGCTTTATATACGGACCCCCCCCACCTCCCTTTTACACTGTGTAGGTAAGAATACCACTCATTCTAGACTTCTTAGCATCCGTGGCCTTCTTTTACCTCCTGTCCCTCCTGTATATATATATATATATATATATATATATATATATATATATATATATATATATATATATATATATATATATATATATATATATATATATATATATATATATATATATATATATATATATATATATATATATTGTGAGGAGGTTTATTAGCCGTTAAAGACAGCGACGAGACAGCGTGAAGAACCGTCCAGCGATCGGCACAGCAACAAACCGAAGCACGAGCCGAGAGAGCCGGGCGTTGGCGATGCTGCTCGCGGCAGGCACATCTTCTTCACAATCGCCCCCGCTGAAAAAGGAGCTATCCTG